AAATAATGTCACTTCTCAGTGAGTGTCTCAGTCTTGTCAATTTCTGCGCATCTGACATATGGCTACGGAAAACCTTGATTTTACGCTCTAAGTGTCTGCAGGTCATTGCGGTATTGATTGCATGGCGATACATGTATTTACGTATATCATTAGTATTACTATGAATCATTATCCGTCAACTACGTCTGCATACATATACTACAGCGCGAGGTAAAAAGTGAAGGCTGGGAACCCATTTTACACCAAAAATGCTACTTTTCAACGTGGCCCTAGACCACCAATTATCATAAATAATCTCCGAGAATTGGAGAAGTATATTTCTTGCATGTCAAGAATTGACTTATCAGCTCAAAATTAAACTATTATTCCTCTAGCATGAGCTATGTTGATTTTATTGTGTTGAGTTGCCAAAAAACACGCCAAGACCACATATTTGTATGTGATGTAGCCGAATCTCCAAATTGCTCTACTTCTAGCTCATGTACTTTCTTTCATATCTGACCTGAGAGAGTGTCCTTTTAGATATATTAAATTTGGTACCCAAAGTCTTACTCTATAAAGCCTTGTTTATTCCCGATCGCAATTGGGATGTTTGTTTTCGTTCTGTTTAAGCTAATTTTGGTGTATTTTTGGTTGCCAGCCTTCAATTTTTACCTCGCGCTGTACATATCAATAACATGCACTAATATACATCCTCACCACCCGCCCAGCTGTAGGAATGGCTCACTTGATCAACTATGCAATTTCGTACAAAGATCTCGATTGCCAAATTCGGTTACAGTTTAATTCGATGTCTCACATAATAGACCTTTCGGTAAACTTGATGGAGTGTAGCACACTATGTAAAATGGCACACTTCTACGATCAAAAACGACATCGTGTCGTTTTGCGTTAAATTTTGCTCTACAGCACATGTACCGAAAAGTGAAACCGCCCATGACCTTTTCAGTCAGTTGAGAAATCGCAATTTCGGGCTGGTATTGTTGCTGCACTTATTACTTTTTTTAGTTCTTTCCCCAACTGTTCGTTCTAACCTCTACGTCACGGCATTCTTTCCTTAGTACAACTAAGAATCACACAGCTTGATTCCAGTATACGAGTAGACGTTAGTACTCACGTGAATCTCCGAAACGCAGAACTACAGCGATTTTCAAAAAACATTGACAATGCTTACATATGAAGCTAGTAGGGGGATTTCAAATCATTATATCACAATTGGTATCTTTGGTCAGTTTTTATATTATCTACGGGACTTGCCTAGCGTCATACTTAGAATCTCCCGCACTTAAGACCCAACTCTCTGTCCGGTCGAGCAAAAGAGTTAATGCCTTAATATATTTTGAGTGGTATAACATAGGTATTATCTAAAACTCCGAGACATCAGTCTGGTGATCTCACATAACACAGCATCCTGGAGATTCAAAAACCCTATTATATCCTATTGAGCTCTATATGGAGCATCATTCTCATATACAATAAAATAGAGTGGTATTCTCATGGGGACTCTTGCATATGAGCCTCTGAGTCACACTTGCACGCACAGCGCATTCCGGACCCAAAGTGTTTGATAAGAATTTGTTCTAGATCGAGTGAGTTACCGAGTGACCGTTGATGACGCACCCCCGCGATACATGCCGGGTGCTGCACTCTGTTGGATATGTGCCATGGGATCCTTTCTAATTCCCTGATGACCGCGGTTCATCTTGGGACGAGCATTTGCTATGACCGTAACCCTGATTCCCTGTATCTCCCCTACTCCCTTCCTATCTATCCCCGAAGCCTTGATCCCTCATTAAGGTCCAGTGATTTGTCTACGGCGAACGGCCACGCGCCATTGTCCAATGAGGCTAGGTGGTGGCTTGACGGAGGGCCCACAGCGGCAGGGATGGCGTTCGTTGTTGGTCCCTAGAGCTGTGTAGTTATCTATTTTGGGGTTTGGCAGGGGGGGGGGGGGGGAGGCCCATGCTGTGGCTGGGTTGGGGTGCATGCTGAGATCGATGTAGTGTGCTGGAGGAAGAGGGCACCGGGGCGAGGCCAGCACTGCGAGCCCGACACTGCGAGCCCGACCTATGCGGCTCAGATATAGGCCGTCACAGTCGGGAAGAGCCTTGTGCATCGGTTCAATAAAGAGAGCGTAATCACGTGCTACCGTAATCCGCAGCTAGCGCTCATTGCAATCAGTATTTGTAAAAATCGAGACCATTGATCGACTGGACTCAGAGATTCGAACGCTACCATTGTAATCCGGGTAAGTTCGGATTCTCAAGTACTTGACCCAGCATCTTCCAAATTATTTCCATGACGAAAGGTGCTTAATTACCCATGTACCAGGTGCAGTATGTTCTTCGGACTATCAATGGCCTTGTGCAGCATATCGAGAGCAGAGTATGTGTATGCATGGTGCATATATATATAGGAACTCCTGGACGACATCCTGGCTCCTCTCTGGTGAAGAGACGTCAAACGCCATAGTCATGCTGTCTGTAGTTTACGCCGGTAATAGGGGGTCAGGGCGCGGCAAAGAAGAGTCGGTGTAGCACATGAGAGAGTCGGATAGGGTCCTGACTGATAGGCGGGGCGGGGTCGTCCAACACTGTTTATAATATGGAGCATTAATGTGCTGGATGATGCAGTGAACTGGAAGGAGTGACGGGGGTTCCGGTTTGAAGCGACATGTGAGGTATCCAGGAGATAGATTAGGAGGTTTTTCAGTTTGGCTTGATCTTTTGGCACTTTCAGATTTGCTATGTACTTGACTTTGAATATATATATATCCGCCAAGACCTTGTTTAGGAGGAATGGTTCTATGCGCAACGTAAGTGTATCTCCCTTAAATTTTGAGTGCTGGAATTCCTGGTATACTAATCGATTTAAACATTAGATGCTATAAGGAGCAAATGTATTGTGGGGTGAGAGCCTAGAAATTAAAGAAGGAAATTGAGTAAGAAACAATTAACTGCATTAGATAGAAAGTCTCGGTATTGATCACCGTCATTTGCGAGTGATATTCCGTGTAGCTGTAGACAATACAACCTTGGCAAGTGCTAGTGCGGCTAAAATATTTGGAATTAATGGTCTGGATCGCTTATTACTGAGTTTTATGTGGCTGTGATATCTGCTGTCGCTACATATGTACTGGCTCCTTACAGTACTTCAATAGGCCGGGTCGATACATGAAGCCTTTGAGACGCGCAGGCCCCCGAAGAACCGCACTCATTGCAGTATCTCGCGTTCACAAACCTCGATCTAAACATGATAGTTCTCCCTTACAGTGTGGCACAAGAGGCGGGGCGGACTGCTGGCTGTACTTCGAGGCTAGCCGCCCTACGTTGGTATCAGCTGTCTCTAGAACGCCAGTAAATGCATCAATTGACGTATTTCCCATGCATGGAAATCTTATTTGTTATTGATGCATCAACTGTCAGGGCCCGTTTAAAGGTTTTCCTATCTATGGTTTTACTGCTACCTTTATCCCATGGCCCGTCAAAGCTGAGACTTTTTCGTGGGGGCCAAGAGTCACACGAAACCCGAGCGAGGGATTGGCCAGAGATCGATTCAAATGCGACAGTTGATAACGATAACGATTTGCCCCCACGAAAAGGGTCAGGATGTCTTGAGTCTTGACGGACTACCTATAGCTCGAGAAGCTATAGTAGGTAGGTGTGTAAACTTCGGCGTTTGTAGCCAATCAATCTATAGGAATTGGGAGATCTACTCCCATAATGGTACTAGCGCCTAGCCTGACGGTGGAATTTTCTCTAATTCCCATACAAAACAAGGTCCTCTGAAGTTGACACACCCACCCCCTATGCCTTCTCGCGCCATAGTACTCGCGTGTAGGGGAAAGAACCAGAAAATGCAAATGTCGATTTTGTATGGCAGATCGGCGCCACTCTATACAAATAATCCCTGCTTTCTCACTTGCATTTTCTGGTTCTTTCCCCTACACGCGAGTAGTAGTAAATGTAGGTATGTGGCTACACGGGGGATCTCCGGGGATCAGGGGACATCCACGCAGGTACAGACCGATAAGCGAGTGCGGAACGGTACATACAATACCGCAGAAACTCGCCAACTTGATTATCTCCGTGCAGGGATTTCTTCATTGATGATTGGCTGAAAGGCAGAGATCAGCTTCAGATATTTCCTCTACAAGTTAGTTTTTGGTCAGATCCGCTAGCAAAGTTCGTGAGTTTTTGCGGTATTCGTGCAAGCCACAAGGCAAGGTTGGCGTCGGGTGAGGCGCTCGGTTAGTCTCGCTCCTACACACACTTGGCAAAATTAAAGTCAGCCCACTCATTTTGGTGATCTCGCTCCAGGGTGCAGGAGCCGTCATGGTGAGGGTATATCTCCGCACATTTCACTCCCACTCAAAATATCACTCTTGGCGAGCCTACTCCTCCAGGGCGACACATCTTTTATTGAAAAGAAAAACTATTGTCCTCTAGAGTTCTCTATAGAGTACCATCAAAAGATTTTGTTTTAATTTTTCGGGTTATTGTGAAAAGCCTTAGGGATGCGTACTTTGGATGAGACCGGGATGTGGGTTTTTGGCTCCGTGCGCCGTACATACCAGCTTGGGCCTCACCACAATTACAATGATGTATGTACATGTAATTAACATCTAGCACACCCTATGATATAATCCTCGTCTTGCTTATTATATAAGTGCCAGTGCATCTTTACTTCTGTAACCGCTCCATCCTATGCAGTCCTCTCACAGCCAATGGCATATTGTTACTTCCATCTACGCAATTCTTCCTAGCTACAGCCCTGTATTTTGCGTTTGCCAAACTCTATCTACTCATTTAGAGTACCTGTGAATAACTGTACATATATGGGTCTTTGAACTCTCCCATGAAGAAGTATTACATTCAGAGACCATTCACTCACATACTAACTTGGTAATGCTACGGAATTATTCAAGACAAAACAGAATATACAACAACTTTTGATGATCCATAACCCGTTGTTTCGCTACATCCCTTCACAAAACCGAATTACCTCCTAGCGCCCAACAACAAATCTTCAATCTCCTTCTCCTTCGTCGCCGCTGTCTTAGTCTCTTTGCACAATTTCTTATGCCCACCCCTCTTCCAATCCCTCTTCTGACACTCAGTCCCGCAATACCACCACTCGCGGCACCCGTTACAAAGTCGCAACGCGCCCACTGTCTCCTCAACCTTTCCACATCCAATGGCATCACATGCCTTCTTCTTCACCTCCCCCTCACTCTCAACTAGCCACTCCTTCATTCCCGGGACGTCCCAAACTCGCTTGTACATGAGGTAGAATGTTAACTGGCTACGCAGCTTGTTCTGGTGATAACTGATAGTGGTTCTCCCGGTGGATAATGCCTGGTAGATGTATGTGTTTGAGTGGTAAGCCCGACGAAGGCAAAAGAGGCTGAACTTGCTTGAGCCATAAAGAATGAAAGAGGCGAGAGTGAGGGTGTACAGGATCATTGGGTGCTTGTAGGGCTGGAGATTGAGCGGTGGTGCTGAATTTGGATCGATATCAGATTTCTTGTAATGGGTGATATCTGGAAACCGTTAGTTAATTATGTATTGAATGGACTGGGTATACTGGAAGAGGTAAACCTAGAAAGGCAAGGTCGGGGTTGTAGTTAGGATGAGTGGAACACGCTGGGCTGGCACGGTTCAGAGAGCTAAGGCAGAAATTCAAGGCTTCAAGGGGGCGTTTGCGATTGATAAGAACAAGTGCAACGCGGTTGCGAAGATCTAATCATTTGTATTAGGACCGGATAAACTGAAACTGATTAACTGAGCGAAATATTCAACCACACCGCTAAGATCTTCGGAACGAGATAACGTTCCTGGGGACTCGAATAAGAACCGATCACAGAACTTGCAGTCCTGAATTAAGATTAAGGTGCCATCACTAGATATACCCCAGACATAGCTTTAAAAGTCAGTTTAGATTATCACCTGGGAAGCACTCTAGAGTGGATATCTTACTCTGGGTCGCCCCATCCGCATATCTCGCACATTCTGAAATTTGAGGAAAGTGATAACAAGCTCGGCTGGCCAGCTGGCCAGCTGGATGGAGGACTGTTATATAAAAATCCAACGGTGTTGGAGGCCTGAATGTTGAATTATCAGAATCTGATAAGGCAAAACACACGCACCCACCACAACCGCACCCAATTAGGTACAGCTACTCAGTAAAAGTATTCGTGATATAGTTTTAATGTCAGTGCGCAGTGTGGCGCTCTTCATTAATTTGGGTGTTATTAGTCACCGGGAAAGTCTTCTCTTGGGGGGTTCTTGATGGTCCGCCGTGGTTACATATGGAGAAATGTCACTTTTGCAGAGTGGCTGTAATTACCTGATTAGTGACAAAAGCTACTCCAACGTTCATCAAGTTTCTGGATATCGTTGCAACAGGCATATTCTTGCAACCATGAACACATTAATAGTATTGTATTTAAATAACCTGGCTAATTAGTGCCGGCAACGGTAGTGATTACCCACTTTATTCTTGGCTGAGTTCACCGGAATAGCGGTTTCTTCGACGGACATCTCTCCAACTCGATGGAAAGGCTTCTGCCCAAAACCAGTGATATTAAGTGACAGTCTTAGTAAAGCAGTTGCGTTTACCTTATAGCCACCCCGAAGGAAGCATTGCGAATAGGCGCATACGGGTCCGCTGGCGTGTGCTGCTGTGTCTACGCGCCATGTGGAAAGTGGAGTGTCTCCCAGGCCACCACCTAAAATTTCAAACTTCGATATCTGATATACCTTAGAGACAAAAGCCAGAGGATCATCGTACGGCCAGTGGGGATGGCTGAACATTATATCCCACACCCGCGCTAACACACTCCCTCATTGATAATCTCGCACGCTGATAGGTTCTCCACTCACATCGCGCCTTTACCTCCTTCCTTCCCTTCAAACGCTCATGCGATCCCTCTTCCCACTGCTGGAGGAGACGTACATTACTTAACCCCACCCACAGATGATCTGAATGTACACGCTTACCAGCAGAAAATGCAAGCAACGGAAACAGGGATTGTTTGTATGAGAAAACGGCGCCACTCCATACAAATTATCATTCCCCTGAGCAGCTGCATTTCCTGGTTCTTATGCTGGTAAGCGTGTATACACACCCCGCACCGGTACTAATCTCCTCGGGAACACGTTCTCCCTTACCCGGAATCTTACCGTACCTTATTGGCTACGCAAAAGTAAAGTTCAAAGCGTTGGCACTAGCCACTATTCTTCACTAATTCAAAGTACATAGCGGTGAATTGAAACTCAATCGTTGTGAGGAGTTCCATCAAGTTGGAGTGAGGAAAGTTTCGGTTATTTTTACCTCTATACAAGAGGACGATATATAGACAGGTGAAGCTCTAAATCCAATGATCGCGGATCTGGATGTCATGTGGTTGGCCCCTTAGCCCCACATCACATGCGACGGTATTGTTGGACTACGAAAATAACGCAAATTTCTATGTGAATACGATCCTAGCCGCCCCACGAACATTATCCAAATTTGACTACAAGAGGACTCAATATATCCAATTTTATCTTTGATATCCCTTGTGATTGTGAAGTTATAGCCGTTCAAAGTTGCAGTTTTTGTATGGTTGCTACGGGGATGCGTAGTTATTTTTGAACCTGCCAATACATGTTATTTGTAGTAGTGCGGTCAGGCCCAATCAAATGCAATGTTCTGAGCTGTACTAGTACTTACCAAATATTTAATTATAGGACGAATACTTAGCCAGGCTCGTAGTTACCACCCACCCTCTGTCATAAACTTAAAACGTTTAGTAATTAGTTACGGTATACAGCCAGGGTCAACGATGCGCATCAACCAACACAACAGGAGGGTGGTAACCCAAACTACACAGCCACGTTCTACTCATTTGCTCCGGATACCGTAGTACGAAAGAAGGTTGCTGGTACTACTACAGCTCATGCCAACCTCCCTCGTAAGTAATAATCAGCAAACACCGTGTGAAATGAGCATTGACAGCGCTTAAAGAAGCACAACTGCTATTATATATGGCTAGTACCTGGCATTGTAGCTCTGCCTGACTGTGCAAGGGATAGGCTTGGTGAAACGTTGGACGACGTCATGATCACTGGTCCTGTGAAACATATATACCACCCAATAGCTTGACAGTTACTTCAAGATTCACTTGGGAGTAAGATACACCGATTGAGCAATAGAAGAAGCAAGTTATGATAATGAAAGACATTTTCATCGACAGCTTTCATCCCCCGCAATTGGCAAAAGAGAATCAAGATCAAAACTAGCAGGTTCAAAACCTCATGATGCGTGTACTTGACGAAATAATCAATCGTAAGCTCATGAAACATAAGAAAAGCATACCACTCCCAATCTCACAGATCCGCCTAAGCCGTTAAGCGGAGCTAGGTTCCCGGACCACAAGGGCTCCCCGGACAGCTGTTCCTATGGCCATAAATACAACATCCCCCCTGCGGATTGCACTCGTGAACGTCCGTCCAGCACCTATTTTGGCTACTGGTGCAGCTGGTGACGGCAGCGCAGGCGCCGCAATACTGGCCTTGCCGGGTTCCCACGCGACAACTACACCCCGGAGTGCATTGACGCTTGTCAAGCTCGAGCCCGTCTGCAAAGGGTGAAGCATCGCGAGGTGTGAGGGCAATGTCTTCAGCGGGTATCGCAGATGCGTAGGTGAGCACGGCGGTGCATGCCAGTGCAACGGTGAACAGAAGATTAGAAGGATGCATGGCTGAAGTGAAGATCGGGTACTTTCTGGAAGAAAGATGAAGAGCTCAGGCGACGGACGAGGGGAGGAAACGTGAAGCGTCGGTCTTCAAGTAATGTGAATAATGTATTGAGATGATGAGTAGAGGGTTCGCTGCCGAGCTAAGCTGTAGGAGCGTTGGTGCCTTTTATAAATCTCCTGGTAATAACCTGTATCCACTCTAGGCAGCTACGATGTAAGAACCGTCTACCCTACTTCGAAATCAAGGCTAGCAGCTTGAGAGAACTGAAATACCGTTATAACTAGTAGAATTACTATTAGCGGACCTGATCTACACCTTTCAACCAATCGTTAAGGAGCTAACCCCTGGCCGGAGATAGCTTTTGCGGTAGATGACAGCCAATATCTGCAAGGCGTTTTCTAAAGCCATCGGAAATGTTCGATACGAGCCTAGGATGCAGACACATGCAAGAGCGTTCTGCGGGGCCCACGTGGGTTCTTGGGTAGCACAGGAATTAAAGGAAACCAACGCCATCAAGTCCTCCCGTTAGAACCGTTTGTATATTTGCTCTTCTCTTAATGTGATGCTTCTTTGAAGAGTTCACCTATGCGGGGTAAAGGTGGACTGCGGGCTTCAGGTTGGCCAAATGCATACGGATACGAGCCATATGGAACTGCACTTCGGGAGAACGTTATATTCTGTAGATCCCAAACAGTTTAGGTAAAAAGGTCCGGCGTAATATATCGTCAAAAGCGGTTGGATTATTTGCCGAAACTGTCTGGCATCTACCGGAATATGTAGCATTTCGCATGAAATTGCACGACAACCTGCAAAAGAGGCTTCACGAAATATGTCCCAGATCTCATACGAGGTGGGTGTGTCAGTCGGAGGATTACAGTAGTTCACCGTCACTCGAAGAATACTGCCAGTTGACGAATAGGGGTTTAAGGTATACCAAGGAACAGCTATTGGTTTCTGCTCATTGGTATTGACTCAAACCCTCTTGTTATTCAGAAGGGGGTTTCGTCGAGTGACGTTGGGCGACTGTACGTTTTCGACGGAACACGTGGGAAATATTACGGTTTTTCTTTCTTCTAAAACCGTTTCGATAACAGAGACTTTGCAGGATGATTGGGAAGACGTCTATAGGTCTTTACGGGCTAGGATGAAAACTGGGTGACTATTAACAAGGATCCTTACACAATAGGAATCAATGAAGAAGATTGCTTTGGAACTTGGATGTTTTCTGTAAAGACGCATTCCCTGGCTCCTCGGACACCCCCTTCCCTCGCACATTTGATGATGATTGCTTTAGAAGAAGTAGAGAAGCTGGTTACAACGTCGATCATCTTCTTTTTACGTTAACGGTCTGAGTGAGGGGGGTGTCCGAGTAGATCCGGATTCTTCTTCAACTTGTTTTCGCCCGCACCTCGTGAACGACTGTTAGTTTCGCAGTTCACGCACCTACCCACCCATGCCTCTTGGGTTATATGATTTTCCTATTAGCTTACTTGATTTGAGGAACCTAGAAAAAGCGGTCGACCAGACCATGCCGAATATTGAGTCAGGCTTGCCCTTATTGATTAATTGATTAATTATTTCAGGCTTAGCCTAGTCATAGGGCCGAATCGGCCTGGGGTCACCATGCTTCTCAGTTCCATTTCCTCGACAGGTGTCAAGCGTTTACTGTAAGGAGGAAATTCAAAGGAACAGTGAATTCGTCGCGATACCATGTGGTTAGAACCGAACAAGCGACAGCTGAATAAAAACAGAAAACCTTGGTGTTTATCATAATAATGTGCGAGTGATATTTGGTGCGGCTGTGATAATGATTTTGACAGGCGCTGAACTGCTAAGAGTTTCTAGATCAAGTACATGTTCGGTGGTTTCCTGCAGTATTCTGGGTGGCTATGATAGATGTTGTAGCTATACAACTCTCCTTACAGTATTTCACCAGCTGCTTGCGTACGCGACTTGTTTGGGTCGTGGTCTTGGGACCTAGCACATGAGTCACCGGCCCTCAATTGGCCCAGTGAAAGCTATAGTTGGGCCTAAATGAACGTTGCCACGGCCGCCAATCAAAACCACAGGTACAACGCCGGTCTCGAAGGCAGTGACAGGCGAAGAGGTTATCCACCCACAACGAGAGTTGACGGACCACAGGCATGCACGAAGCTTTGGGTATTACAGGGTGATATGCCCCAATTTGAGGAAACAAGAAGAATGGGACGATCTTCACAGTGGCGGGTGTGGTGAGGGGCACTGGGTGAGGATGAACTAGGGCTCT